ACAAAGTGTACAAAAGGATGTATGTACATTGTATGCAAATACTCCGCCATTTTACATAAGGGGCTTGAGATGTGCAAAGATACACAGGTGCAGTGGTGATAGAAATAGGAAGGGATATGAAAATGGGGATGCTGTAGGGCTTCAGAGCTAAGTATACAACAATCCCAGGAACACAGACCCACAGGTATGGAGAGAAGGAACTTGGTGACCCTGCTCCAACCATTTGGTCCTCTTCCTGAACCACAACTGGCAAAATTTGGTACAAAGACATCATACTGAGATCTTCCTGTTTCCTAGGACAGAGAGTCAGCACACAGATCAACACAAATACTGTAAAGCAGCCACATTTTAAACAAATGTCTTCAAGTCCAGTCCATTTAGAGACAGAACTATAAATCTCTTCTAGCAAGTCCCCATCAGGAGGCACAGAGGGCCCACTAACTTGTCCTTGATTTCCAGGCTGCACTCTCAGAGGGATGGAGTTAAAGGTCCGGGTTACATTTGCACAAATGGTAGTTTTTAATTACATTCCACAGTCTGGTTCCAGTCACCATAGAAGCAACACTTTTTGGTTTCTATAGTGCTATTACCTGTGTCCTAAGCTTCCTGGACATCTCATTATCTGTATTTTTGGAACTAAGACCTTTCAAATGATAGTTGGAATGGGGTGGTATTTATTACTAAGGATTAGTTGGAGTCCCCAGAAGCACCAAAAGGAGCTGGAGCCAATGCAATAAACAAGATACAGGAAATTAGCCACGGGTGTGTATTGTAAAGCTAAAGGTTCCCAGGAATTCTCTTAATTAGTCTCAAATACTTTTCAACCTTATTCCTTTACTGGAATTTGAAATCCATTTATTCCCCAAAATTTACAATTTGTGTTTTGGAACAGGATCTCATGTAGCAAAGGATGGCTTCACACTTCCTATGTATCTCAGGATGAGCCTGAACATCTGGTCCTCCACCTCCCAAGTGTGTACTTCCACATCTGGCTGAGGCAAGCTTTCTTTAACCTATCTCCACATCAATTCTAACTGATTCCCCCTAGTTAGAATATAACCAATCCGTCCACTTCAGTACCCCACCCAACCCAAATATCTCCATTCTTTTTTTTTTTTTTTTTTTTTTTGCCTACAGGATATTTTCTTGAAATATCTCCATTCTTTCATGTGAGATAATAAACCTTATCCTTGACAGTTCTATTCTTATACGGTATGGTACACACAGAAGCAAACACACATTTAAAAACTGAATTCTGCACATATTCTACATTATGAACAGAAACAAGCACACAAACACATTTTAAAACCAGAGGTTAATAAAAACAATATCCACTGAATGAGGACACAGCACAGTAATATTACAGATACCATTTTTAATGACAACAGGTGGCAAATAAAAACAAATTACAGGCTACAGTATACTGAATACAAAACCCATTCAAGTAAAAGACTAGAAAAGCATCACTTAACAAGTCAGTCTGATGCAAGTGGCTAAGAAATGCAGGCCCCATTGTGATGACACTAACTTTACAGACAGCGCATTGTCACCCCCACCCCACCCCACCCCCAGTCAGTGGCCATAGCATGGCCAGTGACACTGGTGACTGAAAATTCTAACACTCAGCATTGACATCAAGAGACATATCTGTAACATGTTCACTATGCAAAACTCAGACAAGAATATGTGAACGTTCTTTGCAAACTGTAAGGTGCTGTGCAGATGTTGTTAGCTATTGCTATTATTCCTGTTCAGTGAGACTTCACCAAACGTGGAAGGAAGACTAGATTGTATAACTGACAATATGACTTACAGAACATCTTAAAAAGAACACATACTTCAAGCACACATAGCAATTAACACAGATATAAGTGTGGCCAGCAGCGATATGGAAAGATTCCGGACTTTCATACAGAATAAAGGGTTATGCTATTCACAGGGTTTTGATGGGGAGGTTGCCAACATCTCTGAGAGTAACTCATTTTTTAAGGTAACTCCATCCCCCTGAAAAAAAAGTTCTGTCAAGCTATTAGAGTGCACTCCAGCACAACCCTGGTGAAAATAAATTTAACAGCTAGTAGAATCTGAATGGTTGTATATTTTACTAGTGAATGACAGAAGACTTGAGAGTAAAGAAACCTGCCATTGACCTAAGTGACAAATACTGTACCATCATTGAACCAATTATCAAATAGGCCTAACAAGTCTACAAATTTACTAAATATGAAACTGTCTGGAGCTATAGTAGTTACATGTAAATCAAGATTTCAATCCTTTCTTTCATATACCTTCAGCTTTAGCTTTCCTTAAGTGCACCTTGCTTGTCTAAATACTTTTACTGACTAGTATGACTTTCCTGTATACATAAGATATACGTGAAAATAAAGACAAGCCCATTGTCTGTTTCTTTTGATAAAATGAAATTGGTCCTTTGTTTTTGTAGAATTTTGTTATTGTTGATTCAGGGTGGCCTTGAACTCCTGATCCTCCTGCAACTGCTTCCCAAATACTGAAAATATAGGCGTGCTCCTGCCTCCACAGCTGGCTCAGTATGAGTTTTCTGATGTAAACTTTCAAGTTATTATAATTACTGTTAGATTCCCATGAAACACCCAGTTCTGTTGAATAGCAGGTTTAAAATTCTTTACTATCATCACAAACCAGAATGCTACTGTAGCACGTGAAACAGCAGCCATTTGAAGAGTGAATGATATCAATCGCATCCTACAGCAGACCTTCCATTGTTTCAGTACTGCGGGAAAAGATTATTGGAGGCAAATCAGAAGGTGAGGAAGGTGGTGTTACAGTAAAGGTGGTAAAATCAGTAGCTTGCACTGACACTTCAAGTTATACTCCCTAATTGAGATTATACAACCAGGTTTTGAACATTAGTGAACATATTCCTGCCGGAAAACACTTAACAATTAACTATAACTATATGTACTTTGTGCAAGAGGAAACTAGTTAGATATCTTTTAAAAATGTCAAATACCACATTCATTGACATAGCTAACAGCAGCAAATTCAAGAATGAGCAGTCAAAAATCCTAGGAAAGAATGAACAGCTTTGAAAATAAATCTATTCTATAATAATTCTAAGTATCAATGTGAATATTTGATTTTAATGTTCCAACACATTGTACTTTATTCCCAAGGGAAAATTACATGTGTTTACATGTACCCCCGGTTAAAATACTTTAAAAGACCTGTACCATTATTTAGTTAGCAATGTTTGAAATCAAACAAAATAACCCGACAGTGTATTTTACAAACAGTACAAGAAAAAAAAAACCCTTAGCATTATATAAAAAGAAACTGAGTGGACAATTCTAAATCCAATAGGCCACCTAATAAGGGAACCACCTAGAAATCTAGTACATAATGTCTGAGACTCAACTATCATAATACTAAAAATTGCAGTCTTTACAAAATAAAGACCCTTATATTTAAAATACTCACTTTTAAATACAAACTACATACAACAGTTAAATTTAAGAATTAAGAACAATCCTTTAATAATTACATTAATCTTGCCTTTGCGATAATGTAACACAAACACATTATCTATATGTCTAATCACCTCTATTTCTCTAGTCTAGTCACAGCATAAAAATAACAGCAGACAAACAAATCAACAATGGCAAACATTAAAGCAGGGGCCACTCATTATATTAGGATTACCAGTAACAGGTATCTGAACGCTCTTCATTTTTACAATTACATTTAATTCATATATAAAAACAAAAAGCATACATGCTTATGGGGTACTATGTAATGTTTTGCTATATCCACATTATATATTTAAATTGAGTTATCTTAAAATTTTATTTATGATAAAAACATTGAAATGTGAATTTGAGAAGGCTAAAGGTAGACAATGGGCAATATCAGGTATAGGGAAAACTGCAAAAAGCTCTTTGGTGGAGTTGGCAAGATCTAAACTTAAACCAAGGTTGTAGTGTATTTGGAACCAGCATTAAGAAACAGGAGTTGTGAACTAAACTACTGATGGTCTGCAAGTAGTAACATTACGGGCCAATTGTGACATGTATTTTCCCAGTGTTTTACAGAACATATATTATGAACTTTTAAGAAAAAATAAATATTTGGGGAATAGCACTTTAAATTGCATATGCACAGTACCAAGTGGTTTATCTGACCATAGACTGAAGGAAGGTACCAAAGCAAGGTAACAGGGCTTTTTATCTGGGGCAAGAGTGTTCTCGTCAAAAAAGACTTGAAGGATTATCTATAAATACAGGATGTAACTTAGCACTGATTTAAAAAAAAAAAAAAGAATCAACAAAAACTCCAAGAAATATGATGTTTTCAAGACTGTATCCACTCTCCATGTATGAAAGCTGGCCATTTTGGCATTCTAATACTTATTATATACTATCTATTTTAAAGTAGGACAACATAGTAAATGGGATTTTGATAAACTCTGCAACTGAAGCCTAATTTCAAAGAAAAATGAGGGCACAATGTTAGCATGATAATCACAATGCTGACAGTCAGCTCAATTCTTTGCCTCCGTAACCCTAAATTCTTCGTATGAATGGGTGTGATTTCAGCAACTTTCCCCATTAAATAATGGAATGTGAGAGTTTTCCTTCCTCAGTGACATTCAGATTAACTATACTGCCTACAATTTAGGGAACTTCCCACAGGAAATTAGAATCTCAAATCCAAGGACCAAGTATTTTTCAGGAAGTCCTCCAGTGAAAAAGGAAATTTAAATTTGCTTCACTAAGCATTTCTTAATCTACCCAATGAAATAAAACTGAAAAGCAAGTATAAGGCAAATCGCTATACATTTTTGTTGTTATAAGGTAATCAAATTCTTCCTAGGATAAAATATAACTCTCTTAACATATACATTTGTACCTATTTAACTTTTCCAAATTTTCATTTGCAAATGGAGATTCAAAGTTCAAAGTGACCATATCATATTATTGGGTGGGTCAAAGTTTAGCCAAATGCGACTGACTCCTTAAGACTGATTTTAACATGTTCTTTCAACTTTATTCAAAGTAAATGTATTTATTATCAATATCCCAGAAGTACTTAACATTTTCAAAAATAAATTTCATGCTATCAAAAGGTGATTTTCACTTTAATCCTGTTTGCCTTCACGCCACTGCCGTGAGCCTTCATTCCAGGCCACATAGACAAACAGGGCCAGAACCACATGAACAGCAACAACAGCAACAATTGCAGCATAAAAGTAGCTGTCTCTATTGGACATTCCAAGTGCACCTATTGAAAAAAGAAAAAAAAATCATTTTATTCCTCACCAAACCACAAAATTCAAAGCCTAACAATTCTGGTTGGAATGGAGACCATTATAGAAAACAGCAACCAACCAAAATGCAGAGTTATGTAACCTAGTCCCAAGGACTACATCTCCAAAACAAGTCCTGTGTTAGGACTCAGGCAACACTGCAATGCAGAAGGCACAGAAAGACTGTAAGAGACAGAAAATCAGGGAGTTTGCTATGAGATTATGCCTCCTAGTAATGTCAGAAGATATACCCCTGAAATCTCCCCAACATGACTCCCTAAACTTGAGCTGAGCAAGAACAGTAGACACGCTAATAAGGAGGAAGAAAAGCCCAGGAGGCCTCAGCTCTACACAAAGAACTACAGGCAACTAAGGAATACTAAGAGTGAGAAAAAGAAATCTTCCACAGGGAACAACACCAATTGGTTATCCAATATACCAATTGGTCAGCCTGTAAAACATATATACGACTGAACATGTTGTACTTAATATTTAGGAAAACACATATACACACAAAACAAACAATGAAAAAAGAAGTATAGCACGATTACTAAAAACTGAGAAACAGATATTTGAAGGTCAGAAAAGCACAACAGCCAGCAGCGACTGGCTCTTACCTCTCCCTCAGTCTGAAATGGCGATCCTGCCTCTAGGACTCTCAGAATGAGACTGTGACTGAGAGCTGCCTATTCCCGTTTTATAATCCTCTCTAGGGCTGGGATTAAGGGCGTGCACCTCTTCCACCTGGTTTCTATGGCAAATTAGTGTGGCTATTGGTATAAAAGGTGTGTGCCACCACTGCCTGGTCTGTAAGGCTGACCAGTGGGGCTGTTTTACTCTCTGATCCTCAGGCAAGCTTTATTTATTAAAATACAAATGAAATATCACTATAAAGTGGTCATGAATTTGAAAGAGAGAGAGAAAGGGAAGATGGGAGAAGGGAAGGAAGAAATGATATAATGTATATTACCTCAAAAAGTAAAATAATATAAAATAAAAGCTATAAAAATAAAAAGTCTTAAAAAGAAAAAAGACATAAAAGAAATGTATATAATCACACATGAGAGACAGAATGGTTAGAATGAGCAGAGATACACATGGTTCTTTCCTCTTCCTCCTCTTCTTCCTCCTGTTTCTCAATATTCACAAGATCTCATTCTGTAGACCATGGTGGCTAGGAAGTTGAGATTCTCCTGTCACTTTCTTAAATACCAGCATTACAGGTGTCTCCTGTCGTGCCCAGTTCTACATTTTAAAATTCACACCAGCTATAAGGAAATGCTCTTGACATTATACCACTGGCTTCCATAACTAAGTCTATCATTTTGTACAAAATACATATATGAATTAAAATATGATTCCACATAAAATACAATGATAAAAACTTATAAAAACAATTCTAGGTTAAAAATAGTTCAGCATAGGTGGATGCAGAGATCTATAGCCAAGCACTGGGCCAAACTCCTGGAGTCCCGTTGAAGAGAGGGAAGAGGGATTATATGAGCAACGGGGGTCAAGATCATGACGGGAGGCCCACAGAAACAGCTGGCCTGAGCTAGTGGGAGCTCATGGACTGATAGCTGTGGAGCCTACATAGGACCGAGTTGGGCCCTCTGAATGTGGGTAGCAGTTGTGTGGTTTGTTCTATTTGTGGGACCCCTGGCAGTGGGACCAGGATTTATGCCTGGTGCGTGAACTGGCTTTTTGGTACACATTCCCTATGATGGGATACCTTGCTCAATCTTCATACAGGGGGGAGGGACTTGGTCCTGCCTCAACTCAATATGCCAGGCTTGGCTGACTCCCCATAGGAGAGCTTGCCTCATCTGTAGATGAGGGGTGAGGGAGAAGTGGGGGGGGGGGGGGGAATGAGAAGAGGGGAGGGAAAGGGAATTGTGGTTGGTACGTAAAATAAATAGTTCAGCATGAAAAGGCACTAACCCAGCCTCCTCTATAAAATCAGAAAATATCAAGGTTTGTTTATTTTTAATATCAATATGATTTCTTATACACATTTGTAGCACAAATCTCTGATTTTATACACGTAGACAGACATTTAAGAGCAATGAGGAAATGAAAGAGCATTATAAATAGAACTGGTACCCAGTTACCAAATTACGTTGCTTTAGTGTATAATTCTACCCCTACAGTAACATAGGAAAGACATCTCCTAGTTCCTGGAGTGTCCATAGGGAAGAGCAGTGCCCACGACACAGACCTGGGAAGCACTGTTTTCATTCCCATTTTCACCAGTTGCCTGTGGTGCAGACAGAAATTACCTTTGCTGTACTGCATCTCTAAAATACAAATTAACTCACAAGTTTGTGGGGATTCTGTAGATAATCTCATGTAAAGCATTTAAAGCAATACATTATATGTAATAAATACAAAAAAAATTGTTTTCTTTTTGAAACGGGGTCTCATGTAGCTCAACTCAGCTTGGCCTCTGACTCTTTTATGAGTCCAGGCTCTAATTCTGCCTCCACCTCCCAAGAATTAGACTCATGCAGCACCGCACCCAGCCAACCAAAGCATATGAATTCTTACTGGATATATGTGTGCGTGTGTACGTGTGTGTAGTTAAGCGAGATGTATAATATACATATTATATACTAGTTAAACAAAAGGAATAAGAAAACAACTTTAACAACAGAAAGATTTACAAAACCACTGAACAAATTAGAAAAGATAAATGTCCTCAAGCATGTAAAAATTACCTTCGAATACATAGGATTTAGTTGTAAAATACAACCCGATAGGAACTGTGATCATTAAAGCTGTGAAGAACAGGAGTGTCTTGAGGGTTGAAGCTAAAGTGTTTTCATTTCTGGAAAAAAGTAAACAAACAGAATTTTCACAAGCCATATCCAAATATAATAATCACCCTCCTGAAGATGAAAGAATTCTGAGACAAATAGCTTCCTCCTTCCCGAACAAGGCAAAGGAGCAAGCATGCGCATGCGTGTACCTGAACAGGCCCCTCAGTTTGGCATACAATGTGCTGGTGTGTGCCCCTGGAATTTACTTCAGAAAAACCCAAACCCTCTGGTAAACAGCTCCTCCCCAAGGATTGGACACACTTCTGTCCCAACTAGAAGGCTAGACCAGAAATAGATAACACCAGAAAAGACAGATGTATTCTAGACTCAACCTGAGCCATGACCCAGTCAGGGTCTCCTAGAACATACAGCTGGGTGGGAGTAAATGGAAAAGACAAATGTATTAATGGCTATACCATGGAACTCCAAATAAAAGCCTAAAATGGACAGCTCAACAGCGGTATTGGGACTGAATATACCAATGATGAAGAAAATTTTGAGTAAATTTAGTGTAGCATTGTATCCTATGTCCATCCTGAGGTACACTCAGTCTACAAACTCCATTCATGGGTAAGTACTCTACACAGATACAGCCATTTCTTCATATTGTGTGTGTGTGTGTGTGTGTGCGCGCACACACACACACAGACAATGTGAGTAAACATATTCTACAATCCCACATAATTATAAATTCTTCAATAAAAGATGACAAATCCACAGAAAGAATAAAACAATGGCAACCATGGATAGGGGGGAAAATTCAGAACTGTGGCCAAAGTCCAATAAAGTAGCAAAGACCCAAGGCCATTGAGTCTAAATAGCTAATCCGCAAGATGAAAATTATATCTCATAAAACTGTACTGTAGTAAACTTTCTGACGTGATTACAGTCCTTGTACAAGTATGAGAAATTAAATCTTACTGTTAAGCTTACTGCCATGAAACAAAAAGTTCTATGATTATCTTTTGCTACCTAAATGTATTATCTTTTACTATACTCTGTCATTACTGAGCTACATAATCCTCACCATATATATGTGTATATAATCATACATATAATCAAATATATCATATATATCCAAAATAGGAAAATACTCACTATTCAACCACTTCTTTTCTGGGTCTTAGAAAAGCATTGAAATTTAGATTTTCCTTAGTGATAAATTCTTATTTTGTGATACTTTAAGCATGCAATAATCAGATTATTTATCTAACTTGATAAGGAACAAAAATTCAAAGAAAGGGTTGATTGGTTATTCTTCCTTATTTAGTCAACTAGTGATTTAGTTTTCAATCCCAGGGATTGAACTCAGGGCTCATATATATATATATACATGATGGAGGAAGGTCATTGGCTAATAAAGGAACTGCCCTGGCCCATTTTATTGGTTAGAAGATAGGTGGGAGGAGAAAACAGAACAGAACGCTGGGAGGAAGAGGAAGTGAGGTCAGACGCGACAGCTCTCCTCTCAGGAGCACATGCCTGAGAGAGACGCCATGCCCTGCTCCCGAGCAGACACACGCCATGAAGCAAGCCGCCAGGTTAGACATGCTGAACCTTTCCCGGTAAGACCGGTGCTCACCGATTATTAGAGATGGGTTGATCGGGATAACAGAATTAGCCAGTAAGGGCTAGGGCTAAAGGGCCAAGCAGTGATTAAATGAATACAGTTTGTGTGTTGTTATTTCGGGCATAAGCTAGCCGGGTAGACAGCCGGGGTGCTGGGAACGCAGCCCCGTTGCCCCTATTACTACATATACATACACACACACACACTAGGCAAATGCTCTACCATTCAGCTACCTCTCTACCCCTTTTGATTTCTTATCTTCTGAAACTGGGTCTCACTAAGTTTTCCATGGTAGCCTAGAACTCACTTTGTAGCCCAATTAGACCTTGAACTTGTGATTCTTCTGTTTCCCAGTAGCCAGTATTAAGAGGCCTATGCTACTATATCTAGAGTATTCTTTAGATAATCTCTTTTAAATATCTACTACCTGGAAAAATTTTTACAAGCATGAGCCAGAGAGATGGCTCAATAGTATTGCTCTTCCAGAGAACCCAGTTCCAGTCCCAGCTCACAACTGCCTTAACTTCAGGTCCAGAAGATCCAATGCCTCTGATCTCCACAGGCACTTGAACTCATGTGCACATACCCACACACAAGAGTGAACACACAAACACACATGCACAATTTAAAACAATAAAAATTTAAAATAATTGTTTATAAACACTTATTGAAAAGATGATACAATGCAATAAAAGATAATAGGGTAAACAAATCACAGTCACACCAAGCAAATATAACATTTACTGTAAATTATGTCCAGTCTCCCACAGCCGATATGTATATGTTAATAATTTATGGCCTATTATTATTATTGTTTTGTTTCAAGACAAGGTTTCTCTGTATAGGTATAGCCCTGGCTCTCCTAGAATTCACTCTGTAAACCAGGCTGGCCTCAAACTCATCACCAGAGATCCACCAGCCTCTGCCTCCTTGAGTGCTGGAATTAAAGGAACATACCACCACCGCCCAGCCTATTATTTTCAATACATACATACTACTCTCTACCTTAAACTTCAAAAATTTGCCTCTTCTCTGCTATATGCACAGTAATTTAAGATTAAGTAGAGTTATCCACTATTTAAAAACAGAAAATTTTTTTTGAGAAATGTCTTTTCAGATGATTTTGTCATTCCACAAATATCACCGAGCATACAAACTAAAAACTAAGATGGCTTAAACTACTCTAGGTAATCCAATCCCATGGAACACACTTGCAGTCTGTCATTCTCCAAAATGTCCAAAGCACACAGCTGGACAGTCAAAGTGTATACAGTTTAAAAAAATAGCTGACCACCTTTCCCGGGCATTTATACCACTTTTATATTTTTGCTTCTAGCCATAGCATTCAACACCTGTTGCTTCTGCTGGCACAAACCAATTCAGGTAGAATCAGTGACAGTATTTTATAAAAAGCAATGGATACCATTTTATTGATTTATTTTATACCTCTGACTAGGAGTTGCTGAGACCTGTCAGAAATGAGGAATGGAAGGAGAAACCAGAATTAATGTTAGTCACACAAAAAGAATGTTCCCAATGAATCTTATCAAGCTCCTACTCTTTAACACTTCTGAGTTTTCCTTCTTTACACAATTTCTCCAGCAAACATTGAACAGATAGAGATTACCACATCCCTCTTTGTGGCAGTCAAGATTTGCAAGAGAATGATTTGAAGATTTTTTTTAATTCCATTAGAAAACACTAGTAAGTGTCTAGATGGTATACTGTATTGTTAGTGTACTTAGTAAGAATGTCTTTTGGTATTCTTATAAAAAGTCACTTTTGCAAAAAAAAAAATGCCCATTAGCATTACTGGAGAGTTAAAAGGATTACAGGGTTTTGGAATCAGCAGGTGTGGCCAGATGTCCATTTTCAAGCCATAGTAACGGTGTGGCCTAATTTTGTGATCTTGGAAGAAAATCACTAAATTCAACTTCCTGTTTTTCCAAAGCTGAAAACTAAGCAGTTAGTCAAACTATGAATTAAGAAATCCGACGATGTAAATTAACGGTTGCTTCTGTTCCACCCTACTGACTGTTTCCCCCAGAGAAGCGGCCTCACACCAGGGTCAGACTCTTCTCCATTCACATGTCAGGTATTTATTTACAAGGCCAGTGATGTAGGCCCTGGCAGGTCTCAAGAGGAAGGAGGCCGAGTGCCTGTCCTCAACAGAGCACGCCTGGCAAATCAGCAAGCTTGCCTAACAACAGCGAGAGGAAATGCAAGGAAGCAAGAACTGGGGACCTGCTCGCTTAAATGAAAGGTGGGGCCACCCATCGCGCAGCTGCAGCCCCCAAGCTGCCCGCCCTCTTCCGGAGCCTGCAGCAGCCCACAGAGGGGCCTGATCCCAAGGCCGCCCGGTTCGTCGCCTCCGTTCCCTGCGGCGGCACGCCAGGCCAGAGCCGACCCCCCACGGCTACCCAGCCGAACTCAGAAATACCTGAACTCTGGCGGCTGCAGCGCGTTCAGCGCCACTTTATCAAGGCGCTCCATGGCGTGGCCGCAAGGGTAGCAGCAGGCGCGAGATAATTGGCGGGGTCAGGCGGCTGCCGGTACCAGGACAGTACTAGGCCAGTCGCACCGGAAGTAGCTGCCCGAAGCACGCAGGCGCGGCGCGGCGCGGTGACGCGAGGAGGCAGCGCGCGCAGGCGCGGGTGGGGCGCGGCACTCACGTGACGTACCCGCGAGGGTTCCGTGGGGTTCGTGCCGGCGCGAGGAGCTCTTTCTCCAGGAGCAGGCCGGGCGAGTAGCCTAGCCACTCGACGTTGAGCCGGGACTTTCCGCGCAGCATCGTCCTCCTAGGCCCAGGGCTCTCCTCCGCGTCTCGGTCCCGCCTGCGGTGCCACGGGAGCCTGGTCACCCGAGGTGGAGGAGCCGCGGAAAGGACAGGCCGGCCGTCGGCTGTGGTGCTAGGCAACTGAGCAGTTTCCAACAACACAAAAAAGCAATGCACATTATTCCACCAGCCCATGAGCAAAGACCTCATTCATTCCTGGCCGCCTTGGCTGTGCAGCAGGAAGTTCAGAGGAATTTAACACTCACCCGAGTCAGTAAAACTAGAGAACTGTCCGCTGGAAGAGCCCTTGCTGAGAGTGAATGTTCCACGTTGGTAGCAGGTGACCCAAACTTCCACGTAGGGTTAAAAGTATGTTTTGCAGCTGTTCAGAAATCCGCCAATGAGACAACAGGGACTCAAAAATAGTAAGGACAGATGGAACTATGCTCCCAGGCGACCCGAGAGGCACCAACAGAAAAGGGTGTGTACGCCCGAGGACAGGCTTAGCAAACTTACGTGCCCCTGGCTGCTAAGAGAAGGACAGCCCTTACATGGTCAAGGCTGGACAGGGCTGCTGACCACGTACCTATTTTCTGCACCACGGAATACTAAGCATACTTGAAATCACAAGTAAACCAGCCGTGGATGGATCTTGGATTGAGCAGTAGGAAGCCCGAGTTTCAATTTAAATGTAGTAACACCTCTGTAGGCCTCTGCAGAATCCTTAGGTGAACCTAGTGCATGAACTCAGGAAGTGGAGAGCTGGGTGCCACAAGTGACACACTGGGCAGCCACTCAAGTGCCTGGAGCCCGTTTTTCTCCACTTTGTGTGGTGGGAAAATGTCAAAGAATATCTCAGAAACAACTCATGAGAATCATTTGAATCTTAACGTTCATAAGTAGAATTTTTTGGAACTGAGTCATGCACAATCATCTGAATTGTCTACTGCGGTGCTGGTTAGATGGGACATAAGTGGTGTGTTACACAAATCCTTTCATTTTTTTTCCTATGTGCTATCCCACTGAACAACTACTCCCAGAACTCCACATCCCCTTTCAAAGTTTGACACAGGTTCTCACTCCTGGCAAGTCAGCCTTGAGCTCATTCCGTAGCCCAGGCAGGCCGTGGACTCAATCTTTCTGTTACAGCCTCTCCAGTGACTGAGATTACAGATCTATACCACCAGACATGGTGATATAGGGTTCTTTGCTGAAACACTTTGCGGATTGCTGATCTTGCTAATCACCTCTTGGTCCTTAAAGCCCTGGGGATCAACAAACTTGACAGAGTATTCTGAGAACAAGTTTTGGTATTTCTGAAAACCTAATGGAACTTCAACAGCTAAATGTCACATTATTTGACTTGAGGTATAAATTATGTCACACTAAGGTAATCCTGTTCATCTAATGAGTAAATGGAAAGACTGTTAGTAAAAGCTAAAATATACTATAGTGTGCTTGATAGAACAAATCTTTAGAAATATGAGCCTAAAAAGAATAGTTGTGTGCACCCAAGAGTATATAGTACACAATATGTGTTAAGCAACTGGGTTTTGTCTCCAGAAAAGTTTCTTGATAGTGAGAAAACTGGGAACTACAATGTAGATGGAGTAATGTTTTTTAGGACCACTGTAACAAAGAACTGCAAACTAAGTTGTTTAAACAACAGAAGCTAATCCTTTTCCGCTTCTAGAAGCTAGATGTCTGAGATGGAGGTATTCTTTTTTTTAATTTATTTACTTTTTTAAAATTTCATTTTACATTCCAACCACAGTTCTCCCTCCCACCCCTCCTCCTGCCCCCTCTCACCTCCCCCCCCCCCAGCCCACCTCCCTTCCATTGCTCCCAACAGGAAGGGCTCCCATGGGACTCAACAAAGTCTGGCACATTAAGTTTGGGCAGGACCAAGTCACTACCCCCCAGTGTTAAGGGTGAGCATGGCATCTCACCATAGGGAATGTGCTCCAACAAGCTAGCTCACGCACCAGGGGTAGATCCTAGTCCCACTGCCAGGGTCCCCTCAGATAGTTCAATCTTCACCCCTGTCCCCTACATACAGAGGGCCTAGTTCAGTCCAATGGAGGCTCCACAGCTGTCTCTAGAGTTCATGAATTTCCATGAGCTTGGTTCAGCTGTCTCTGTAGGTGTCTGAGAGGGAGGTATTCTTAAGGTTAGTTCTGAGGTCTGCTGGAGAAAGGTATAGCCATCTGTGCCTCTCCCTTAGCATCTGGTCATTGGCTGACACTTGGACATTTGCGGGGGGGGGGTAATCTTTTCATGGTGTTCTCCCAACATGTGTGTCAGTGTTCAAATGTCCTCTCTTCATAAGGACACCAGCCCTATTGCTTTGGGGGACTACCCTACTTTCATACGGCAGTATCATAATTAATTACATTTGCACTAACAATATTTCCAAATAAGGTTACACTCTGAGGTGTAACATGGTCACAAGGGAGGAGAGTATTTCCCCTAGAATCAGAAAATGGTTCTCAAATATTTGTCTGGAATATTCATTGTTGAGAAAACAGAACTATTAAGAGAAGTGACTTGTCCCAGATTTCTAGGCTCCATGATATGATTAGGGAACCTATAGCCCCTAACTTTTGGTCTAGTACTTTCTCCACAATATTGTTGTAAGTACCAGTGTCATCAACCAGGTGTCACAGCAGGTATGTAAGCAAAGTCAGGTCTTTAGCTACCCCAAGATCTGCAGTACTGTCTCACAAGCCATACATCTCCATTTGGAGCTCCCACTGTGGCTTTGGATAGAACAGCAACACTTGAAAGACCTACTGGTACTTTCTCAAGTCTATGCCTACACAAAATGCCTTTCAAAAACTGAGATACAAGGAAAACAAAAATAAGCTTCACCAGGCAGTCACCATGGGAGGAGTGGGGTTCATCTGTTTTCATTTTAGCAAAGGGAGTTAGTCCAACAAGGACTCAGGCTTACTGAAACTTCTTCTTCCCCTTTGTGCCAACTAGCCAATTGTGTCAGGTTGTGAAGGTGGGCTGCCAGCAACGGGGTAAAGCGCACTCACCACCTACAGCGATAAAAGATGAGAGCCATCTTGGGCTCCAGTGTTTATAATGGAGACTGGGTGTCTTTTTTTTCTGAAAATAAAAACTCATGACACACACCCTTTGGTGAAAAATCATGATTCCACTTCTAGACCAAAATTTAAAGGAGGAAAGGCTAATATAGAAAATTGTGTTTTCAGGATCCCCTAAGCAATGAACTCCACATTTTACTTACCACCGTTTCCTCGAAGTGAATGTCTACCTGCTTCATTTTACAATCAGCTCACAGTCTCTACAAGCGTTATGCCACCCTCATTTTATGTGTGGGAAATCTCAATCTAAGGAAAATTCCAGGTCTTACCTCCCCTTGCCTCCGAAGTCTTAATCCACTGTGTACTCTGAAATTCCACAAAGCTACCTTGTTTGGCTTTATATTCCGCATAGTTAAACTAGGATCTTAGAGTTAGGGGGAAGGCTCTTGATAAAGGTGCCAGAGGATACCTGGAGTCCACGGATCAGAGCTGTTCTTGCCCACCAGACATGCCTAGACCGTGTTAGTAGAGCCCTAGTAAAGAAAGTACAGTGCGCACCCAATAGAAGTGTGACTTCGATCTCAGTCCCACATTATTTGGTTTGAAATTTAATAAACCTGGCAGAAATAAAGGTAGGTACTCTAAGGAGAGATTTATGTTTCTCAATCTGACTATAAGATTATCAAAGCAATGAACACCAAAAAAATGGGAATTTCCCGGGAGTCTCATGCTGGGAAAAGGAAAAGGCCCCTGCCAGGGGGGGAGTTTATCTCTCTGAAAGAGACTTCACAGTTCTAACACTTGTCAGACTACCCTACAGGTAGAGATTGAGAAGCCCAGACAAGGATGGCTAGTGGAGGAGAGGATACAACCACACCCTGTCCAAGATTGCTTAAATGTGCTTGTACTCGGCCTTCTCTTTGAACTTTAATTTCATTCCAGGACCCCAAAAGCAGACTTGGGGGTTCCCTGATTGCTTCATCTGTCTCCTCAATGTGGCCATGTTGAATAACTTTCCCTTTTCTGCTTTTCATTATTAAATGCTTAGTAAGGATTGGTGGCAGGAAGGACCTGGCTTGGAGCACAAGTTTTTATCTATAAATTCTATAACATCGTCATAAGAAGAAGCCTATCCATATGTCATGGCAAGTCGAAAGCTCACAAATTCTGGCCCAAGTGCTTTGAGATGGGCCTGTCGCATTACCTGCGCATTGTGACAAATCCACAACCCAATAGCCACGCTCTGCCCAGCGGGCTGAGTGCTGAGGAGTTGTTGGTGGCCCATCGGCAGAACAAAAACTGAAGGGGTTGTTTCCCGGGAGAGCTAAGCCCGGGCTTGCCAAGACCAGATAAAGCCAGGAGGTCCCAGAGATCGATCCCCCAGGTAGTTCAGGCACCAGAAAGCTAGGGTCAGATTTCCCTGAGGCCTTCCCAAACAGCTGGAGGGAGGGGCCGGCAGGACGGCTCTCTGATTGGGCCTCAATAGCGCTTCCTTCAGGCAAAAGCCTAAAGGTTAAGCAGAAACTCCTCTCAGGCAGTCTGTGTGCCTCGCCCCTGTGACCAGTGGACCCCAGGGTGAGATTTTGGAAACCAGACCCCATCCACGTGGGAACTGCACTCCCAACATTAATTGAATAACTTAAGTACATTGATGAATAAATGAGAGCAATCTAAGGGTTTTTCCCTTTTCCTTTTCCATCATTAGATTGAAAAAAAAAGAAACACTAAAGGGAAGGGAAAAATGCAGATGCAATAGGAAA